ACAAAACTCAACTGAATACTACAGTGTTTTTTCACCCCCTCGGTCCGCCGCTTCCGCCCCCCCCGTCCGCCGCTTCCGCCCTCCCCGGTCCGCCGCTTCCGCCCCCCTCGGTCCGCCGCTTCCGCCCTCCCCCTCGCAAGCGCTGCTGCGCGGGAAGCGCGTTCCGCCGCGGCCCTCCGAGCCGTGCCCCGCGCTGGGTGGGCCGGGGCCCCGGAGGGGAGGCCGCGGGCTCTCTGCCGTGTGCCTGTGCTCGGCCAGCGCGGCACATGAACAGCTCCTTCCCCACGCTTTCGGCTCCTGTTACTTTAAAATCCCTCTGAAGAGTAGAGGTGAAAGGAAACCTCGGCTCAAACCGGCCGCGTCCCGTGTTTGGAGTTACTTCCCTGGAGAAAGAGCCTCCCCGGAGCATCTTCATCGCGGGGTAGACACGAGGCAGTCTGAGAAAAAACGGCGTCCCAGATAAAGATGTTTAAGACTTATTGTGTGAAAATCGGCATTCAGCATGAACACTGGGTAAACACACACACACTAAAAGACAGGTATGTTCTAGAGGTGTTTATCCCAAGGAACTCCAGAAGTCTGTAGTTCTTAGGAACTATGACCCAAGTAATCAAATGGCAGGACCTGCAACACATTTCCCCTTATAAACACAAGTCCTCCCCACCAAGAAGTCTGGCTTCCTCTTGGGATGAAAGCCAGTGATGTTTCAGCCCAATCTGCTGTTAAACATTTGCATGGCTGAAAGCTTTTCTGAAAGAAAGGGTTTATCGAGCCCTATGCTGGCCAGAAACGGACCGGGTTCTGGGGTGCGGTCTGAACCGCCAGCAGAAGTGCCAGGTGAAGGCAACACGTCCGCTGTCCTGGGGCTGATGAGCTCTTCACACATCAAGTAGGAGGAAGAGATGTGAGTTGTTTGGGAAGAATTGATACTGGCTGTAAAGGGGGTGGGAGACGGTGCAGCACGGCTAGCTCTGGGATCGGTGCAGTCCGAGGAAGAAGTGTTTGTTCCTTTGGATGGGCTGTGGGCAACAGGAAAATTCCTGGGTAGCCAGGAAGTGGAGGCTCCTGGGGGGCAGTGGCCCTAGCTGTTCTCGTTAAATAATCGTGGGAATAGGCACTTGGAAGTTGATCTGAAGTTCCAGCACACACTCGGGACTACAAGCAACCTTCTGTTGGTTCTGCACTACAGTTGTTTAACTGATTAACCTCTTTCTCATCTCTTCCTCCCACCCTCCGGCCTGCTGTAATTAATTCAGGACAGCTCAGAATTTTCTCCTTGTCATTGTATTTATTCTTAAATTTCAGATCTAGACCTGTAATAATTTGGGTATGGAGCCTATGCATCTTTCAAATGCGGATAGTCATGAAAAAGAATAAAAATCATGTGCTCCCTCAACTGCCTAAATTCCACCATTCGTAATCCCAAAATCTTATTTTATAAGCATTTCTTCTTTTTTTATCTACTTGGTTCTGAACTGAGAAAAGGGACCTGATTCTTGCATGAATACAATTTACAGAGTGAGTACCTGCTCTATGCCAAGCACTGGGCTAGGTGCTAAGACGTATCTTTTTACACAAGGATTATATCAAAGCAAAGGACATCTGTAATCTATGTGGGACCAAAGAATTGGTTTTTTAATCTTTCTTCTTTAAACACTCAACTGTTAGCACCTCAGCATGAATTATGTTAATGTTTTTACGTCCAAAGCCTAAGAAAACCCTGTGCCACCTCCACGGCCTGGAAAGAATCTATCCAGCTCTGGAAACAAAGAGAGGCTGGGGTGCCGGATTTGCTCTAAAAGTTGACAGCATCTTCAGTTTGTTATGAAAATGCTGCTCTCGGGGCTCATACTTGGAACAGAGACAGGAAAATGTGTCAATGTCAGACTCAAAACTTTTCTCCCCGGGTTCTTTCTATGAAAAACACTCTCAAAGTATTAAACCTTCTACTGCCATCAAGTCAGATGAGTTTTAATTATTTTTTCTTATAAAGAACGAACAGTTCTTGGAGAGTGAGGACTTCGCATTATCAGCCCATTGCACACCTGTCTGAAAAAAACATTCTGTAACTTCTTTTGTGTTATAAATTATAAACAAACACTACAAGGATAAATGTTTGGGCTTTTTCTTTTTCCCCACTTTTGAAAACAGAGTTCTTAGAACATAAGGAAGCTCATTTAAATCCTGAAGAGTATATATCACTAACGTTTTCCTACATACTTATAAAAACAAACGTCTAACAACTCTGTCTTTACTGACCCTGATGGAGGAGCGCCCACAAGTCTCTTGTGATGGCAGAGACACTCGGACAGCAGCCTCTAAAGCAGCGGTTCTCAACCTTCCTAATGCCGCGACCCCTTAATACAGTTCCTCATGTTGCGGTGACCCCCAACCATAAAATTATTTTCGTTGCTACTCTACAACTGTAATTTTGCTACTGTTATGAATCATAATGTAAATATCTTTTTGTTTTCCGATGGTCTTAGGCGACCCCTGTGAAAGGGTCGTTCGACCCCCAAAGAGGTCATGACCCACGGGTTGAGAGCCGCTGCTCTAAAGGAAGGAGATGAAGAAATCCTGTATCCTAGTAGTTAAGAATAAAAGTAACTGTTATCTGAGCGTCCTAAAATATTAACACAGTTGAGTGCTTCCTAACTGTGCACTGGAAACTGAGCACAGGACTGTGCTGGAGGCAGCCTGGCCAAGCACCTTCCTCAGGGCTCTGGGCAGCAGCAGCCTTGGAACCTGCAGCAAGTGCTGACTGTGGGAAGAGTGAGGAGTCTTCCTTTTCTGTGTCTTTCTTCCTGCTGTCTCAGCAGGGATGAGGGGAGAAAGCGTTCCTCCTACCCCTCAGCACTCCCTCCCCTCCAACGGATACAAAATAGAGCCTGGATTTCATATGCTCGAGTAAGCTGATTGTCTCAGAGCGGATGCACTGGAGCCAGGGGAGGGGGTAATCTGAGAGTGTGGGAAAACTGTGGCCTGAGCAAGAGTGCGACAGTGACAGGCAGAGGTGACACCAGGGCTGGCCGCAGGCATGTCTGGGGTTGCTGGGAGGGCCTGCTGCAGAGCCCGCCTCACATCAGAGCCCAGACAGGTGGAGGGCACGGAGGGAGAGAAGTACCCGAGACCACCACACACACCCAGTCTCCTGGGAGAGCAGCTACAGAGATGGCTGGGGTCCCCAGGAGGGACCCCAAACTGTGTGAGGCTGGACCTCTCTCCAGCTGAGGCAAGCAGGGGTGCAGAAACAAATTGCTGCCCACACTGGCTCTGTGGAAGAATTCAGACCGTCTGAGTCAGGGTAAGTGTTTACTAACAAAACTGCTTTAATTTGGAAAGTGTTCAAGGAAATAAATGAATAAGATACCCTGGTCATTTGGCTAACCAATTCTGCAAATTCCGCCTATCAGATGAGCAGAGACCAAGTCAGAGGAAACAGAAATGTGCATATATACTAAAAGTAGAAAGAGATTTACAAATTTATTGATGCCTTTCAGAAGTTCACAAATGAAATGCCCTCTAATAGTACAAAACTCAACTGAATACTACAGTGTTTTTTCAAAGTCATGAAAAAAATGAACTCCAAGTCTATTTTATAAACCTAAAATGATACCGTATTCCTGGGCTTTTTGTTCTAGCATTTATCAAACTCACACAGGTGTTTTTAGGAGATGAACTAGGCCTAATTCTTGAGAATTACTTTCTCTGAATGGAAGCGCCGGAAAACAACGCGATCTCCTGGCTGAGTGAAGCCATCGTTAGGGGACTCCCCTGGGGCCCGAGGCCACGGTGCTTGGGGTCCGAGGCCACGGTGCTTGGGGTCCTGCTCCCCGTCTCCAGACTCACAATGGACAGAACTCCGCTGTCTGAAGAGAGAAGATGGTATTGCATCACATGCTAACAACACATGATTCTAAAACACTGCTTCCCTCTGGAGGAATTCCCAAGAGCAAAAGCCATCCGAGGGACCATTCCAAACCCAACTGGCACCGTTCCCGAGTCCCTGAACCTGCTGAGATGCTGTGGGGGTTCTAGGCCTGGAGTCATCAGCACCAGCTCAGTGAACGGCCACACAGGCTGGGGTGGCCCAGCAGTGTAGCCATCTGCCTCGTCTGAAGATCAGGGCCCTGGAGGCCCCCACAGCACTCACTGCCTGGCCTTACCCTTCTCCTCAGCCCCTTCAGACCACTGCAGCAACTGCATTTCTCAAACCCCAGCCCCCCACCCCTTCTGTAGGTGCCACCTCATCACAGGCTCCCTGGGCACTCACCCACCTTCCGAGGCCCACAGTCAAAGCTCTGAACCTGTGGTGGCCTTCAGGGGCCTCTAAAACAGAATCAAGTCCCGTCTGTTTCATAGGCGACAAGCCAGCTATAGACCTTGACATTTGCGTCCAGGACAGCATGGGAGGAGGGAGCCTCCTTGTCCTCCCCAGACCCAGAAGGTAGCCTGCGGAACCTCCTCGCCTCTCACCTGGCTTGTTTACTTGACACACCTCCTCCCAGGTGTAGTCAGCAAGGTTCACAGGCTGTGTCACCCAGGGATCTGTCACCAGCTTCTCCAAGGTGGTGCGCTGCTCGGGGACAGGCTGCAGCAGCCCAGATATGAGGTTCATGAGATCTGAGGACAGAAAAACTTGCCCTAGGCATGGGGCTGGAAGACCAACAGTGGTCGGCTGGGTCGAGTGGAGCACATCCAAAAACCGCGGCCCTGGTCTGCTCCCATGAGCGCCTGAATGGCAGCAAGGAGCCCTGGAATCCCTCTTAACTAGCACCCCAGGGTTTCTGGCACACAAGGCCCCCAGCTGTGCTTTGAGAAAGGCTGCAAGAGATGTCTGTCACCTCTGAAACGACAACTTGGGAGTCGCTCAATGTGCAGAGTCCTGGGGGCTCTGGATGTGCAGAGCCGTGAGTGACACAGGGTTCACGTGACAGCAGAGGGAAAGGAGGCAGCTGGCAGGAGGCCCCCAGTGGGTCCCCACAGGAAGGAAGCACAAGCTCTGAGAAGAGGCCCAGCCTGGAGTCTGGACTCGGTCCCCATTTCCTGTAACAACATGGGTGTCCCCTCACCCCAGGGCGCCCCAAGCCTCCCTATCCCGGGAAAGCGTCCTGAGAGCCTGACGAGAACACGTGGAACAGCCTCCGTGGGTGTCACTGTGCCGCAAGGGCCAAGGCGTCGCAGGGCCTGGAACTGGAGCACAGCCCTCCAGGCCTCTCCTGGGCTGCAGTGGGCAGCTGTGACCCCACAGATGCACAGGCTGCAGCCCGAGCCCCACGTGATGGTGTCTGGAGGTGATAAGGGTGATTAGGGGAGGTTGTGGGGCCCTTGTAAGAAGAGAAGCCGGGAGCTCGCTCTCCTCCTCGCCACCACGGGAGGACCCAGAGAACAGGCAGGTGTCTGCTGACAGGAAGGCTCTCAGCAGGAAGTGACCCTGCCAGCTCCCTGATCACGCTCCCAGACTCCAAGCCGTAAACGTCTGTCATTGCAGCCCGTCTGTGGTGTCTGTCATGGCCGCCAAGCCTACTGACACAGGCTTGTAACCCAAGCAGAAATCCCAGGCACAGACTTCGTGCATGAAGCCCTCGTCACCTCATTTTTCATAACGATAAATGACAACTACAGAATCACAGAATGTCGAGATTGGGGGGGACCTCAGAACCGAGGGGTCCAGCGACCATCAGACCTCTGCCAGCTCCTTGGAGTTCCTCCAGTTGAGGGTCCCGGGCTGGCCCACTCCAGACCCGGCCACTGAGCCTTCCCACGGTGGTCCCCGCTCCAGAGGCAAACAGCACCGTTGCCCTGAGGGGAGCTTGCAGTGGGACAGAAACCCAAGGCTTCCATCCATGGGAACTGCTGGGGGCCAAGTCCTTCCATCACCCCAAGTGATGAGTTTCTAGCTGAGGGTGGGACCGGCAGTCACTGCCACGGCCAAGCTCATGAGCTCTAATGTCTCTCTCAGAACAGGGCCCTACGATCCAAAGGGGAACGAATGCTCATAAAAACAATTATCATGATGTTTTGAAGTCATATAGAAATGATCCTCATGTGCAGATCAAAGTATGAGAGGAACGGACAGAAAGAGGAGGAAGGAAGCTGACGGACAAAGGCTGTCGACGGCGGGAGGCGGGGAGACGCCAGCTGCGGCCGCGCTCACCTTGCGACACCATGTATGGGGGGTTCATTGCAGCCTCCATGGTCTCCTCCAGCTCGCAGAAGGGGTTCTCCTCAAAGACCAGTGTGTACAGTGTGACTCCCAGTGACCACATCTCCAGCTCCGGCCCCCCGTACCTGCGGCAGGACAAGGAAACAGTTGTGGTGGCAGGTGCTCAGTCGAGGCACAAGCCAGCCGGCAAGTGAGCCCTGGGCCCCAGTCATCCGAGCGAGCACAGCTCCCAGTGAGGCTGCTGCCCTCCGTCTGCCCCCTGCCAGGCGCCACCAAGTGCCAGGAAAGACAGGAAAAGCCAAGCCACGGGACTGGTTAGATTAATCCTGGATACGGAGCGCCAACCACGGGACGAGACAGTGCATGCGGCATGTGGGTGCAGACACGGCATCCCCTGGGGGTGTGGGGGCGGGGGGCTTCCTGGAGGAGAGGGCACCGGGCCTCACAGGCGCTCGGCTCACCAGGGCCACTGGGAGCCACAGGTGGTTTCAAAACAGGGAGGCGAGCCCTTCCGAGAGCTGGCCGAGGTGACACATGAAGGGTGCTCAGGGTGAGACGGCACAGTAAGGACTCTTAAGGACAAAGTAAGGCGACAGCGTCAGGGACAGAGAAGAAAGTTAACAAGATGGTGCGGTGGGAGGGGTCCCAGCGGCTGGGCCAATGGAGGAGCCACCGGGCACACTGTTGTCACTCTTGTCTTCAAACACCCTCCTCCCAGCCACCACCCACGACAAGCTGGCACTGCCAGGCACCCACAGAGCTAGTACATAAATGCTGCCTGAATCTTATGTAGAAGACGCAAAGCTGCTGCCGGGGGCACTGACGCAGGCTGACTGTCTCCAGACGCGTGTCCCTGTGCTGCCCAAGGCTGGTGGTCACTGGGTCTGGAGCTCGAGGGGCCCACACAGGGAATTTGGGAAGCAGACTGCAAATTTAGACCAGGTGGCCAGGGAAACTGGAGTGAAAAGAGGCCCAGGAAATCCCCTGCTATCCAGGGGGCCACAGAGAGCCTGGGGACATCAGGAGGCAGAAAACCAGGGGCAGGGGCGGCCGAGTAGCTCAGTTGGTTAAGAGCTCGCTCAAGACTATTGAGCGAGCTCTGAGCAACAGCAGCTCAATTCCCAAGCCCGAGCTGAGCAGCCGCTGAGCTGCCAACAGGTGGCAGGATGGCTCAGCTAAAAATAAATAAATTAAGTAATTAATTAATTAAAAAGTGGCGAGCCGGATTCGGCCAAGGGCTATAGTGTGCCCAGCCCTGGAACAGAAGGATGTGAAGAGGGTGAGGGAGGAAGCAGAGCTCCGGAGGACAGGCTGAAGAATCCGAGCTCAGCAAACCTTCACCCCTGAGGCAGGGACCGCATACAGGATGCAGGAAGGAACTCAGAGGAGGACACCTACAGCCCCTCACCAGCCGAGGAGGGAACAGGAACAGCCAGAAGATAGGAGCATGGCTCCCGGGGAGGCCAGGAGGTCGCTGAGAAGCACCAAGGCGCTCTCCCAGCCCGGAGCCTCCAAAGGTCCAGAAGTGTCACCGCCCCGCGCCCTGTGGGACTTCACAGCCCGGGGGTGGGGGCAGGTAAGCCACAAGCACATGCTATGGTCCCACACGGGACAGGACAGCAGCCGGCGGCATCTGGGACTCTCTGCGACTCTTCTTAGACCACCCCCTTCAGAATGTCATACTGTCTGATGGCTCTGGTGTGTGGAGGTGACAGGCGCAGGGCTCAGCTAGCACCCTCCACACTCTGCTGTGCACAGAGCCCAGCCATCCTGCTCACAGACCCAGCCACACATCCAGAAGCTAGTCAGGAGGGCAGACTCCATGTGGGCAGCCTGCAGCCTTCACTTCCTGGCTCGGAAATGAAATGACTTGAGCGAACGTGGTGACCAGGGCCCTGGTCACTTCTCACAGCGACACTGAGGCTCGGTACGGAGACAGTCGTGGCTACAGCGAACGCTCCAGACTCAGGCCGCCGGGGTTCAGATCTGGCTCCGACCAGATCTGCATGTCCTTACACTTGTCACATGAGAACAAGACCAAAGGCGCGGGCACAGGGCGCAGCAGCAGGTGGTGAGGTACACGGGCCTGTGGCCGTCCGTCCCTGTAACCACAGGCTGTTCTGCAGACACGCTCTCTCCCAACCCGTCTGACATGTGGCACAGGCAGAAGCCTGCTGTCTGGAAGTGACCTGACAAGGTCCATTTCCTACATGGAGAGACATACTTCGCTTGTTTACAGACGAGTTACCATCCATCGTGTGAAGCACGAAATACTCGAGCTGCAGCCTCACGAGCAGCAACCAGGCTGTCCTGTCCTGACTCCCCGACAGCAGGCGCTGCCTGGGCTCCCTGCACAGAGACGCCAACTGGGCTGCGCCGGGACCCTGCTCGTCCCCCAGCAGGAGGGGCTGGCCAGCAACAGCACCTTCCGCACAAGCCCAAACCCCACATGGTGCTCCCTGGGGGCGCTGCTCCTGAGACTTCATTCCCTGCTCTAGTGATGCCACCCAGCAACATTTTCCTGTCACCAAAATAAATAAACCAGGCTAGGATGAATCCTCTTCACTTACCTGAAGAGTCCCAAAAGGTTGGGACTCTTCTAACTTTATCTTTTTCTTAACTGTTAATTATACAAAACTGCAAACATAAAAGTGGAGAGAATAACACAGAACCTGGTACCCATCGCCCGGCTTCCCCGACGGCTCTCTCATCGCCTGCCTGCCCGCCCACTTTCCAAAGCATTGTCCTTTATCCCTTGGCATCCTCATCACAAACAGGCAAAACTGAAACCACTTTCCCACCAAAAATGCACCCAGGATGGGGTGGCTCCCGCCGGGAGACGTGACAAGGGCGGCACTGATACGTACGGATTACCCAGGAGGACCTCGGGCGCACAGTACTCGATCGTGCCACAAAACGTATAGAACAATTTGCCCCTTTCCAGGTAGGCAGCGGAGCCGAAGTCGATGAGCTTAATCGTAAAGTCCTCGGCAATGACGATGTTCTCGTCCTTGATGTCCCGGTGGATGACGCTCTTGGAGCGCAGGTACCCCACTGCTGACACCAGCTGAAATCAGAAGCATAGGGGCTTTTAAAAGGAAATTCATGTAAGATACACTTCAAGTGAGAGCTGACAAGAAAAACGGGAAGAACAGAAACAAAGAAAAGAAGGAGTTCCCTGACTCACAGTGAAGTTGCGACAGGAAAGGCCTCTGGGTGCTGCAGACGCGACCCAGTGATGGGAGGCAAGGCGGTGCCAGGCGGTGCGCTCGCCGCGGCCGGCACAAGAATATGTGACCCTTCAAAATCGCATTATTATTATTACTTGTGATGAGGACAACATAAGATCTACCCTCTAAGCAAAATTTTAAGTCTACACCCCAGCGTTGTTTGCTGCAGGAACCAGGCCGACCGCACAGCAGGCCTCTAGGACTCACTCATGTGGCACAGCTGAGACTGTACCCTTTCACTACCCCCACTTCTCTGTCCCCCAGATAAATAAGCGACTCCTAAGTCCTCTCTGTCTCTGCGGCTGAAGAAAACCTCCCAGCGGACATTGCCTCACCCGACGGCAGCACGATTGGAAGGACGCACTGACCACAGACAGAGGTCCCAAGACATGTGCTGGCACTTGGATAAGTGTGGGCCGGCTGCTGACTGGGAAGCAGCCCTAGGGAGCGCTTGGCTCCGGCACCCTCAGCTCACCAGAGCTCACAAAGCAGCCTGGGAGTCTCCAACGCCGACGTCAGGCTCTCGCAGCGGGGAGAGCAACTTCCGGGCCAGGCCCTTCGTAGTTAAGAAACCTGATGAAACTGTCACGTTCACATTCATGTGTGGTTTCTGTTTCCTGCTGGACCCTGCGCCCTAGCTGCCAGAGGAGGTGCTCACAGGCCCCGGCCCCCGCCAGTGGGCAGGCAGCACACTGGTGACCGACACCATGTATGCACACATTTCCATAAGATAATACTTCTATAAAACTGTGAATCCGTATTTACACAAAATAACACTTAGGACATGTACAGATTTACAAACAGGCTATACATACTTCTTGCAGAAATTATAAAGTATTGAACACTGTAATTTCCTATATCAGTAGCCCCAGAATGAACACATCAGGCAGCAGCTTTTAACCGTTACATCAGACACTCTTTTCACCATGAAGATTTGAGAAACAAATCTTTGCCATGAAGTAAAGCAGACGAGTGTGTAACCTTCCAAAGCAGGGAGAGGGAGAGAGGTGACCTTCTCTGGCAGGACCATGACGCCTGAAACTTACAAGTAGGTGCCTCAGAAACTTAACTGCAGATACCCAGTAACTTTTGGGAGTTTATAGCTCTGAGGAAGGAGTGTCAATTTAGGGACACTGTCATTAGAAATTGAGTCACCCCCAGGAAACAGTCAAAGAGCAAACCTGTGACTTGTTCCCTTCGGGGTGCTCTCTGATTTAACCCAATAGCCTCACGGTGTCGTCACTAGAACAAGCCCTGCTGCACGGATTAGCGATGATTTCCTGCTGGTGGACAAGGGCCCAGGTCAGACACAGAGGTATCAGAGCCCAGTCTGACAGCTTTACTTGCTAATGTTGAGATAGGTATGGATACTCTGTGTATATAAATAAATTTTGTTCATTAGCCTGCCTCCCAGTCATTTGAGAATGGCATCTGGCCTCGCCCATCCTTCCCAGCCTCGCTTTCTCTACTTCGACCAGAGAATTCTCTCCTTAAAATACCTCTCTTACTCCAAAAATCCCAAACCTAAAGGCTAGATCCAGCTCAGAGAGGGAACCGAGTGTGAACCCGGTCTCTACAGCCTCCGGGACCTGAGCCCAGCCTGTGCTCACCTGTCGGAAGATGTAACTCGCCAGCGGCTCGTCCAGGCTGGGATGGCAGTCGATGAATGAGAAGAGGTCCAGGCCGGAGCCATGCTTCTCCATCACCAGCTGGAAGAACCCTCGGTTCTCAAATACGTCCAAGACCTGGGGAGAGACAGAGCTGGGTCTGGCGCTGCTGAGGTGCCTTCTGACCATGTTTAGGGCGCTTCCGTGAGCAGCGCAGGGCATCACGGGCGAGACCAGCACTCCACCTTGATGATGTTGGCGTGCTCCACCCTGGACAGAATTGCGATCTCTAACGTGACTCTTCCAAGTGTGGGGTCCTCGATCCAACAATCCTCCAAAACCTTGTCCTTCCTAATGAACTTCACCACCACCTACGAGGAAGTCAGAGGGAGGAACGGCTGCAGCCTTCCTCCAGCCCCATCGGACCCGGTGCCCTGCTGGCTCCTGGCGGCAGCCGGAACCTCCATGTGTCCCTCCCCGAGTCCCAGGCCGTGAAAGAAGGCGCTGACGACAAGCCCTGGCAGCACGAGGGCACAGCGGCTGCTGTTCATAAACTGAGGCGCTGCACCAGTGTGGGAACCCAGGGCGAGCAGCGTGGCCGCTGCTGGAAAGAGGCCCCTGGAGACCTCGGAGTGGGCCCTCCCCGGAACACCCTGTATCACCCCAATTTCTCCACCGAGGACTAAACGACCCGGCCGAGACCATGAGACAAGAGGCCTGAGAACTAGAAACTAAACAAAAAGAACCATCCAGTCCTGAGAGCTACTCAGAGCTCAATGAGAGCGATGCACACAAGATAAACAACAGTGATGTGAGTACAATTAACGGTGGTCAGCTAGAAAGTGTAACAGAAAAAAGACAGTGCTTATAATGGAAACAAACACTGGGAGTCGCTGGCCAGTAACCTCATCTTTCAACACAATACTTGCAGCCAGGTGAGTGCTGGGCGAGCAGCGTGGCGGGGTGACCACAGCCCAGACCACGGGCCAGGCCTGCACTGTTCTTCATACATCAGCGAGACCCTGAACAAGGTGACGGAGGCCCCACCCTCATGGAACTCACGGTCTCCTGGGGAGAGGGTGCTCGTTGGGTCAGGGAGAGTGAATGCCAAGATGACAAAGTGGAGTACAGGTGACTCTGAGAGGAGCCCGGGGAAAGCACGGAGGCCGAGCCAGATGGAGTGGGGGTTGTGAGGCCGTTGGAGCCACAGCACAGAGCTCAGTGGAAGAAGCAGGAAGAAAAACTAGGAGCTTCTGCAACGTCCACTCACCTCCCCATAATCAGGAGGAAAAACGTGATGGCTTAGGTGCCAGCATGTGAGTGGTGACAGGTGGACAAGTTCTGAAGATCCTTCAAAGGGAGGGTCACCATGATTGGATAGGCCAGATGAGAAATTTGAGAGAAAGCAAGAAGGCGAGGTTGCCACTGGGGGGGAAAGGTGAGTGAGGCGGGGCGGGACATGGGGCCACAGATAGCAGGAGCTCAAGTTCAGACGGTTAAAGGGGTGCTCTCTGCTTCCCGTCCAGCGTCCAGCATCAGCAGACAGCAAGGGAGGCTCCCTGCGAGCCCCAGCACACACCTAAGATGAGCGGAGGAGAAAGCAGACAAGAATTAACAGAATTCCCCTAAAATAAAGAAAGCTTTAAAGACTCAGGTCGAAGTCTTACCAAGTCTCTCAAGCAAGAATAAAGAACGGGGGCCAGCTGAGTGGCTCAGTTGATTAAGAGCTCGCTCAAGAGTACGAGCTCCGAACAACAGGGTCGCCAGTTCAATTCCCGGCCCAAGCTGAGCTGCCAACAGGTGGCAGGATGGCTCAGCCAAAAAAACAAACAAAAAAAAGGCAAAGAATAAAGAACGAACACACACAGAAATACATCCTGGTAAAACTTCTGAAATCCAAAGATTAATAAAGGAAGAAGAAGAAAAAGGAAAAAGAAAACAACAGGTTGCTGGCAGCAAAATTCACTTCTAAGTAACACTAGATGACAATAGACACGGGGTCTAAAAGGTTCTGAGAGGAAAAGGCATATCACCGTACACCCTTCCTAGAAAAATTAATGACAAATATATTCCAACAAATAAAAAATAAACACGGGAAAGAGAAGAAATGGGATCTAAAAATAATGGAGATTCAACAAAAAGACAAGACTTGTACAATGAAAACTACAAAAACATTGTTGAAAGAAATTAAAGAAGACCTAAACAAGTAGAAAGACACCCCATGTTCCTGGTTGACAAGAATCGATACTGTGAAGATGGCAAACTCCCCAAATTGACCTACAAAGTAAGTAAGGCACCAGAACTATGCTGCCCTGTGAGTAGCTTGACTCTTCAAAGTCTGTTTTCTGATTGGCTGCTTTACTTAATAATTTGTTGTCAGTATATAAATTGACATCTGTTTTTTGAAAGGCAAAAATACTCATGTGTTTCTTTCTAACCCGAGAAGACCTTTGGGTCTTCTTTCTTCTTCCTTTAAGTATAAATGTCCATAGAAACCCCTAGAGCCTATCGGATCCTGGTTCCCAACCAGGAATGAGAAGGTCTGACTCAGACAAATGAATGACAACAGCGAGAGTGGCAGCACGTGACAGCGAGAGCAATATATGTCACGTGGACAAAGCGTAAATGCTTTTACTATAAGGAACAGCTTAAAAAATACATTCTATCCAGTAAGCTAGAAAAACAGCAACGTTAACTCACAGAAAGTACGAGAAAGAAATTAAAAGAAAACAAAACAAAAACTTGATAAAATAGACAATACTTGGCAAGTCTGACAAAAAAAAGGTAGGGAACGTAAGAATTCGTCACGAGCCAGAGACACACCTCAGACACAATACCACACGCTCAGGTACACTGACGCCGACTCTACCGGCCTCACCTAACTTTGACAGGAAAAGAAAAAACTTCTGGATGAATATAAATGGGAAAAAAATCCCAAATAAAAATACTGGCAAACCAATTCATCAAAACATTAAAAGCATATGAGAGCGTAATGGAGGCCTGAGTCTGGGAATGTGACGAGCTGACTGATAATCCATTGTCAGGAAAGGAACCACGGATATGGCCATCTCAAAGATGCCAGAAAGACATTCGATAGAACAACACTCATTCTTTAAAAACAGCATTCAGTGAGCTGAAAATGAAATATCCTCAAACAAAAGGTATCCATCAAAAACAGGGGCCACAGAGGAGCAGCAGGAGACCAGTGGCACACCTGTCACTTCACGGGCTCTGCAGGTCCTGCCGGGTGGCAGGAGAGAAGGCAAACCAAAGGTGATGAGGCACAAACAGAAAAGGAGACAAGTGTCGTGACCAGCAGAGGGATGAGCGGTCATCTGGAAAATCACAAAGGACCCACGGGGACATTACGAATGCAGGGAGACCGACATGTGACATTGGCCCAGACACACAAGCTGTGGTCAATTCCAGAGGAAGTGACCAGGAAACGCAGTGGGGAGGGGCGGGGGGGCAGCCCGCCTCCCTCCCAGCCGAAGCACCTCCTTGTTCTCTTCCTTGTCCACCGCGGTCCAGACAAAGCCGAAGGCCCCGCTGCCCAGCGGGCTCAGCGTGCGGTACTTGTGCGAGTACGCACCCTCGCAAGCCGCCAGCCCGTCCAGCTCCCCACCCTTGGGGGACTCCTCAAACCAAGGTTGGCTTCTGAGCACCTGCGAACAGGAGGAAGGGCTGAGGGACCACACGCCACCGGCCGCACCAACGGAAAGGAGGCAGCCGCAGGCGGTGCGCGTCCCGCTCCCTTCCCCCACAATCCCCCCACCGTCCCCCACGGCTGTGGGAGGAGCAGCACCTGCACCCTGCGCCCGCTCCTCCCAGGCGGCCTCAAGATGCATCAAAGCGCGTTTATACCCACCCTGCACATGGGGCACACACAGATTTAAAACCCCACGCATGGCTAGTACACAGGGCGTTAGGAGACAGTGATCCAAAGCCACAAGCAGACCCTCTTCCCACCCCCAGGAGACAGAGAGGTGCTGCTGGGAGAACACCCAGCACGTTGCAGGTACCTACTTCCCCCACGCTGGGTCCAGGGAGCTCGCACACCGAGTGGCTGGCACTGGGCCGGCTGGCCAGGAGCAGGCGGGTCCGTGGGGTGGAGGCCTGGGGGCCGTGCAGGTCTCTCACCAGCCAGCAGCAGAAGAGGGGCGCGGGGCCTTGGAGCTCCACCCGCTTCACCTGGAAGTGCACACCTGAAGGGAAGGCAGAAGCACAGCCCCGGGATGAAAAAGCACGTGGCCCTGGATAGCACGAAGACCACACAGAGCACCCGGGCAGAAGGCAAAGGGCGCCTGGACTTGGAGAAGGGTCGGCGGGCAGGAAGGGAAAGGCTGAGCATAGAGGACCTCCGCCTGGCGCGGGGTCAGCAGCTCGGTGTGTCCAGAGGCAGCTGGAGACCACAGGGAGCGCTGAGGGGACCCCTGCCAACTCAGAAGTACCTGGAAAGTCACCTTCAACACGCCCGACACAGGGAAGCCTCGGCCTCCGGGTGAAGGAACGTGAATGGTTCCCGTGGAAACATACACGTATGTGCCCGCTGTGGTTCACGGACCCACATTAAACCACACACTATGCACACACGTGTGTGCTTTCCACAGCCTCCTGGGTATACGCCCAAAAAGCCTGGTTATCTTTTTTATGGGGGATTTACAGGTGAACGTATTTTCTTCTTTTTGTTTATATTTTCTAATACTTCTACAAATGACATGTATTACTTACATAACTTTTTAATATTTATGAAAAGAGCCTTTCTAATCAACACTACAAAATTAGCAATAAAGAAACAACTGGCTAAAATAACGACCTGTTAAGAATTAGGAAAATAAAAAGAAAAGTGAAACAAATACGATCAACCTCAAAGGGGCAAGTGAAGGGGCCTGATCACAGGCCCTCTGAGAGTGAAGATTTTTAGAGCTCAGAGCAGCCTGAACCCCGAAAGCTCTTGGAGACCCACCATAACAGCTCCCCAGCCCCACTCCAGCCCGTGTGACCTCGAGACTGCAGAGTGGGCCGTGGGCCCCACCCTTCCCAGGCACACGCACTCATCCTGACTTGCACAAGGTCAGCTCTAACTGCAGGGTTTTATTTAACACTTGGTTCCCGCCGGAACTACTCAGGGTGGAGCCCCATCTGACCCAGGGTGAGGGGGGCCCGTTCCCCGCCAGGACGTACTCAGCAGCGAGCCGTCCCGGTGGCGGCAGCTCCCCTCGTAAGTGCCCTCCTGGATGTCGCCCTGCAGACCGGTGGCCCTGGGCGATGCCGCGCTCCCCTCTCTCACAGGCGTGGAGGTGACCTGGACGCTGTGCCTGGGCTCCTCTAATGGGCACGTGTCCACAGGGCCGGCTCCCAACATGGGAACGATGCCGCCTGCGCTCTCTCTGCCACTCACATCATCACATTCCGAGGACACCAAACAGATGTCAGACAGTTCGGTCCCATCGAGGCCCAGGCAGGTCTCCCGGAGCCCCCAGCCTTCGCCAAGCCTGAAACAGGTGCCCGTCAGCAGTAACAGCTCTCGGTCGTCCAGAACCTCTGACCTCTGCCTGCGCACAGTGCTCATGTCTACCTCGGAGCCCTGCAGCGGGGGAGAGGCTGTCCCCACGAGCTCAGACGAGGTGCAGGAACAGTTTGAAGAACTTCGGTCTGTCCGTTCACTAATAAAGAGTTCCTTGAGGTTCCAGGAAAATGAATTCCCATCAGCTTCCCGGGCCTCCACTGTGTCCAGGACCCCGGGGAGGTCTGTGGCTCGGGCATAGCAGGCTGAGGAGCTGCCTGAGTGGCCTCCATACAGGTCTTTGCCTCCCAGGTCACACAGCGACACAGGGGAGGAGAACGGGGGGTGCTCGGCTGGGACCGGCCCGACGTAGGATGCGCCCAAAGGTCCCCCAAAGCTCAGCCTGGACAGCTGCTCCTTAATTAAGCAAGTCTGCAGCTCCTCCCTGTCGTTCTGCGCTTTCAGCCACAGCTCCTCCAAAGTAGGTGCGGATGAGAGTTGAGCCCCAGAGAGGCTGGGGGCCAAGGCCAGGCTCCCCTGGGGTGCGCTCTGCTCACCCCCAGACCCAGGCTGCAGCATCAGGAGGCTGTCCCCAGCCGGCTGCCCCGTGGAGTCACCTTGGTGGTTTGAAAGGCTGGCCCTGTGCAAACCCATCCCTTCCAGCTGTGCTTCCTGGGACAGCCCCCACATTTCCACACTACTGCTCCTGTCCTCGCATGGGATCAGAGCTTCAGAGCCTCCACAGGGGACAAGTGGTCTCGTGTCCACGTAGTTGGGCCTGCTTCCTCCCAAAAGGTCCTGTCCAAGCCTCTCTGTTGCTGTGGGTTCCTCCTCCTCCAAGACAGCGTTCTGCGGGTCCTCAGGCAATGACCGCTGGCTATGGGCTGGCGGGCTTCCTTCTGGGACATTCTGCTGGCTCTCGAACAAAGACTGTTCCTGGGCTGGTGGGCTTCCTTCCGGGACGTTCCGCGGGTCCTCGGACAATGACCGCTGGCTATAGGCTGGCGGGCTTCCTTTTGGGACATTCTGCTGGTTCTCGAACGACTGTTCCTGGGCTGGTGGGCTTCCTTCTGGGACACTGTCCACTCTGGGGATTAAAACAATGGCCTAGTTACTTAGGAGTCACAGAAGAATAAAAAAGAAAGATCACACGGACTTCTCCTCTGTTAGAGACAAGTACAAAGCATTTGACAACATACATTTCTAATAGAAAAAAACCTAAATTGTGTAATAAAGTTAAAAAATAAAGCACGTACACACAGAGAATAATGGGCACAGTGTGACATTTGTGTACACACACACATGTACACAGATAAGGACGTGCAGTGTGACCCTCTTTGTGTTAAAGGAACAAGGGCAGTTGTAGTGAGTGCGCACACACATACTCTTATACTTCAGTGCACAGGGAATGGTCTACAAAAATGCAGCTGCTCCCAGTGGTTCTCTCTGAGGAAACTGCGAGATAGTCACAGGGACTTTCCTTTTTACCATTTTCTTCTGCACTTTAAAAAAGCACACATGCTCATATATTACATATTTTACAAATAATTTCAAGAAGACTGGAAAACGCGGCCATGTGGATAAATCGCCCAGACACGACGATGAGCATAAGAAACCAGATATAACAGAATGCACAGTTCAAGTTCAAGGGCAGCCCCTTTGCCCTGCATCCTGGCGCCAACCAGGGCAGTGAGGGGTGCCGGGTCCTGGGGCAGGGGCACCCACACACCCAGGGTGTGGCATGTTACTGCACACTATGCATCATACATCAGAGAGTTTTAGTGGGAGACAAAACTGGCTGAAAACACACCAAATACACAATAGCACTGTGATAACTGAACACGAGGTTTTTTATTTCTACTTTTCTAAATTTACCAAATTTTCTAATATGAACTTCCTTTAGTCTAAATAGAATACTTTGTTATTTAAACATACACAAAAAGAACAGATTCAAGTGATTTTAAAAATCAGAAAATTATGCTTTTATCAGTTCCCTGGAACCTGCCTAAACACTTCCTTACAAGTAAACTGGGAGCTGTCACATAGAGGCTGCTGGGGACCAGGCCAGGTAACATGGGAGGTACTCAACCTTCAGTACACCCGCACCTCCCAAAGAGGACTTACTCCGGAGTGGGTGGAGATGGGAGAGGAGAAGAAAGACGGCCTCCAGTGTCCGCTTGAGCCCGGAACCCAGTGACGGCTTCTTGGTTTCCCACTGGTGTTAGAGTCTCATGTCGTGGCAGTATGTGGCCGTTGGCAAGCATGTCATTAACCCCTGGATCTAGCAGGAACAGCAAAAAAGACTATTTTCTATTTGCAGGCACCCCCTCCTGAGATAGACCTCCTCATTTCCCCGAGACTCGGGAGCAGGGGCAGGGGCTGACCTCATCCACTAAACTCCATCAGCCATGTTTGCAGTGTGTCCCAGGTCCGGCCACCTCCCACCGCCCAGCGGGCACCCTCTGCTCCCCCTGCTGCTTTGTCCTGAGCCCGGCACCTGGCAGCATGAGGCCACTAAGGCCGGAGTTGGAGTCCGAGTGGGGCCCTCATCTGCCCACGGCCCTCCAAGGGCTCCGCTGACTGCAGGGGGAAGGCCATGGTCCCCAAGACGACCCCCACAGCCCTGCGGCCTGGCTGCTGCTCCCTTCCGGGGCCTCTCTGGTCTGGCCCTGGCCTGCAGCTTCTCCCCCTCTCCGAATGCCACCCCTGCCATCTGTGGGGCTCCGCTCAAAGCCGCCTTCCCAGCGGGCTATTCCTAGGCCCAGGGCTGAGGTTGGACATCCTGCTGAGCGCTGGTCCCTCCCATGCTTCGCACCTATGCTGTGTGTCACCTGCTTCCCACCAGCTTCCTGGGGCTGGCCTAGCACACAGCAGGTTAACTGGGTCAGAGGGGTGAGATGGCTCTTACTAGCCAGCAGTCCGATGAAGGAGGCTCTAGAAAGTATCGTAGCCCCTGGCTGATGAAAGAGGGCCGCTGGCACCAGCCCTCCAGGGCATTTTGGCAACAGCTAGCAAAAGTGCTCCTCACAGGGCCGGCCGAGTGGCGCGATGGTTAAGAACTGGCTTGGGATGCCAGAGGGCCCCGGTTCGGATCCCACATATGACGGCCAGTGACACTGCCCTCCACAGCTAAGATGCTGAACAACAGCTCAACCTGGAGCTGGGCTGCCGTGGGTCGCCAGCGACGGCGTAGGCTGCAGCCCCTGCTGCAGTGGGTTGCCATGGGCTACCGTGTGTAGCCAGCAGCCAGCGTGAGCGGCCAGCAGCCGCAGTGAGCGGCCAGCAGCCGCAGTGAGCGGCCATCCAGAAGCCGGCGACTGATCTGCCTCGCCTGGGAAGAGCGCAATGATGGTGCCAACTTGGGCCAGTGGAGCAACGTCCTCCACAACTAAACTGAAGAACAAAGCAAGAGCAACTTGTCTGTTCCCCTTCCCCTAATTCCCCAGCACTGTTCCCATCCCCCAATTCCCCAATAAAAAAATAAAATCTTTAAAAAAAAAAAAGGACAGGGGATAATCAACATAAGAAAGAAATCCTGCTGACTATTCAAATCAGCGTTTAACCTGAGGTGCTACATTAATCTGGCCTTAAACCCGGTAGAGCTACTGCAGACTAACTTAGGAGACTAGCCACCTATGTCCTAGACCCAGGCCCGCGGGGACGCACCCTGGGGCAGTTCTAGTCCTCTCTCTGTTAACACCTCACTCACACACACACACACACACACACACACACACACACACACACACACGTCCCATCCCCTAGAAACTCTGAAGGCCCCAGAGCCAGAGGAACACCACACCAAGCAGCTATGCCTGCTCTCTCCCACTCCACGGACGCCCCAGCTCCCTCCGGACCCCACTGGAGGCACGGGCCAGGTGGGGCAGGCGTCTGGGAAGAGAAGGCCGGGGCTCACCCTTGGCCTCGCCTGCAGGGTTCCAGCCCTGCCGGGGGTCCTCAGTCGTCTCCCCAGGCCCAGTCTGGGTGCCCACGTGCATGCAATTGGCCAGGCCAAGTGGTGAGATGGGGCTGGAGCTGCCGTACGCCACGTCCATGTAGCGGTAGAACCCAGGGATCAGGAAGGTGATGTTCTAGAAAACAAACAATGGCACTCAGGCCCGGAGGATGCAGACCTCCCTGGACCACCGCATCCATCCTGGAAGAAATGAAAGCAAGCTGCCAGTGTCTGGGCATGTCACCCCTCCAGGGGAGGGGGACCGGGTCCGACTCCTTTGACAGGCCCAAAGCACCTGATGATCAGCATGGAATTCCTGATTTTTCCCCTTCTTCTTGTGAAAAAGATAAAATTAACACACTCTGAAGCTACTTATTCCGACATCTACACGTCCTCCGAGCAGACAGACATCTGGCCTTCGCTCCATGTCCTCCTCAGGCCTGGGAGCCTATGTTTGCAACCTTCTCACTCGGCCCTCAGGGAGTGACATGTGCCCTGGTACTAAAGGACAAAAGGACCTTGGGCAGCAGTTAACTGGCACCTGGAGGTCCAGCAGGGCCTCCGCTGGCTGGCCATGGCCTCAGTGTGAGGGTCGCAGGCCCAGGAGCTGCAAGGGCAGATGCCTTCTCTGAAGCAGCGTGTGCCCCCGCCCCCAGGTGGCCCTTGGCTGTGTGAGTGCAGAAAACGCTCCAACACCAGAGGGAGGGTACATCCCCCACACACTCCCTGCAGAGACCCACTGTCCTCAGTGTTCCTGTGGGAATCCCTTGTCCGAAATCCACTAACAGCATCTCTGTTCACTTCAGCGGAACTAAGTTTGCCTTAATTTAACTAAACTTTAGCTTCCTTGCATCTTATTGTAGTATTTCTAACACAGAACAGAGAGGGACGTGTTTTTGGAAACTCAAATGAGGTCACAAGGTTCTGACTGGTTGTCACCGGGTCTGGAGTCTGCCCCAGCGGGAGTGACAAGGGGGACGGACGCTCCCCACTTTGCAGCAGCCCATGGTGTACAAGGTGCTTCACATAAGGCTTTGGGCAAACACCAGGCCGGCTGGCCACCAAGCGAGGGGCTCAGGTCCCTCCCAGGGAGCCAGGGAACTGCCACGACCACCTGTAGAGGGGAGTTCCAAGGCTGCCTGAGCTGCTCCCCAGGCGCAGTCCCAGCTGGCCAGCTGAGCCCCGTGGAACAGAATGGGCTGTCCCACTGAAGCTCAGCCCAAGTGGCCGTTTGGGACCGAGGCACATGACTGTCACTCGGGCACTAAGTGTCGTGGTTTGTTTGCAGAAACTGACACAGGGCCGCTCTGCAGTCTTGGATTAGAAGAAAGGGGCCATCACCGCCCATGGCGGCCTGGCCCCTGGTGTGCGAAGACCTTCCCCTCCTCATGGCCAAGGGGCTGAGAGGAAGCTCAGGCCAGGGAACAGGGGTATAGAAACACCTTTCTCCAGTCCTGACCATGCAACAGCCCCCCCAGCGGCCCCAGCACTGTCGGGGGATGTGTGGACAAGCCCCCACCTGGGGTGCAGAGCAAATGGCCACAGCTGTGACATACACCCTCATCCAATAACTCAGCCCAGACTGAGGACAGAGATTGGAGGCAAGAGCCTGTCCCTCTCCTGGAGATGGTCCAGGGGGTCGCATGCTCAGTGCAGGGCTGTGAGCAGGGGACGCCTCCTCGGGCCCACGTGCGTCCGGGGAAGTCGGCATGAACAGTGGCTGGGACGTGCACCTGCCTTTGGTGTGGGACACAGGCCAGCTGCCCGCAGGGAACGTAACCGGCCACCCAGGGAGGCCCTACCTTGCCCAGAAGCTCAGATTTCCCATAACCAGACAGCGTCAGCGCAAAGCTGTGGTTGATGCCATAGATGGTGCCATCGGGCAGGAGGGTGATGAGGCCACTGATGGTGGAGAACGCCCAGACAGACGCCGTGTAGCTCTGCTCGGGGGCCACCTGACCGCCTTCTGCCTCCTCGCTGCTGGGTCCACATTTCAGCTTCAAGCTCAGAGGGAAGGTGGTGCCGTCCTTGGCTCTTCCAACAGACCTCTGAATCTTGAGATTCTGACAGACATGGATGGGGTGACAGCAGCATCTCAGGATTTGAGTCTCTGCTGCTTCAGACTGAAATCTGTGCCCCAAGCATCATGGGGAGGGCCCCCAGAACACCCAACTCCCCACACCGCTCTTCCTCCCTCAGTCTTCCCAGCGAGGGCAGAGCCTCGAGCACAGCCAGTGCCTGGGACAGGGGACCCGAATCCAGCCACGCGGGGCAGGCGCTCAGCACTCCTACCTGTGGGAGGTGCTCACCAGGTGGAGGGAGCTGCACGGAAGGGATCAGGTCTGTGATACACTGCCCGACCACTTCCTCCTCGGATGTGTAGCCGTGCAGCTGAGCAAAGGGACTGTCACACAACGTTATGGCTCCCTTGGAGAAAAACCGGTGTTTGTAAGCATTAAAACAAGACCATGAATGCTACTCAGATAGCAGAAATGCAAGAGGTGCAGACAGACAAGCTTGTGCAGCGTCGCCTTTGTCCGCCTGCTGGAGGCATTCCACAGAAGCCCAGCACACGTCAGACGCTCACCCGTGAGAAGCACAGCCACCCACCCACAGCTCACACCTGAGAGCTGCCTGCGTGCCAGCAACCATCCTGAGGGTTTTACGTATGTAATTTTACTGAAGTGTTAAAACAACTCTGATTTTACAGATGAGGAAACTGAGGTATGGAGATTGGGCTCCTGGCCCCAGCACACGAATACTAAGGGGCTCAGCAGGTGGGAGCCGACCCTCCAGAACCCTCACACCCACTTTCTGCCCTGAAGCCCACAGCAGGGGAGGAGACGTGTGGCAAGGCTGTGAGCAGTTGAGAACAAGCACATAAACTTACATCGCTCTGGAAGGCCACCCAGGCCGAGACCCTGTCCACGGGCTCCAGCACGACCACGCAGCACCGGCTATGCTCCTGCTTCACCCTCTTCATCCACACAGACACTGGGGTCTTGTCCCCGCTGCGGCTCAGGACATCCACCTGCGAGCACGGACAGGCTCACCTGTGCCCCGCAGCACCCGGCCACGAGGCCCCGGAATCCAGGCTCATGGGCGTTTGCAAGCTCTGCCCACCTGCCTCCCATTCCGGAAATTCACCGGAATGCAGACACTGAACCTTACGGCCTCTGAGTGAACCTTCTAGCAGAAGGGCACATTTTAACCGGTGGTGTCTGTGGTTTCTTAACCCAGCAGACACCATCTGTGCTGAACATCTCACTTCCTTCTCGGTAGTCAGTCCCTTGGACGGGTAATTCTTCGCATGTAGTAGACCCCATCTAACTCCTTCCTGAGGCTCAGGGCTCAGCATCTAACATGACATTCAGCCTGTCAGCATGCGGGCTGGACACATGCATGGGCAGGGAAGCCTTTCCAGCCTCGCCAGCCCCCTGACCCAATGTGGAGATGTGGACGTGAAGACAGTAGGGTCATGTTTCTATTTGGGAATCTGTGGGGCGCCCTGAAGGTTTGCAAACGCTAGTCGAAGTCGAGCTTCCTCCCTCCCAGCAATGCCAGGCTGGCGGAAACACCGCTTTGTTCCCGTGATGCCCCAGCCGTTCCCCACACCGACGGGGAGGAGGAGGAGGCACCCACACTGACCGCCCCGTGGTCAGGCCCGCACTCACCACCGTGCCAAACACAACGGCGACGTGGCCGTTGGCCTCCACGTGCTCCTCGCTCAGGGCTTCCAGCACATCAGAGTCTGGCTTCAGAAAGAACCGCGTGAGCTGCTGGCCAATCAGGTCGCGGCTGCTGTACCCCAGGAGCCGGCACGCGTTGTCATTGGCAACCAGGATCTGAGGGTTGCAGAGGGAAGGCGCCTGCGTTACCAGCAGCATCTCTGCCTCCCAGAAATGGCAAGAAGGTGGCACAGGCACCAGCGGGCGAGGCCCGGAGGCTCCACCTCTCCCCAACCGTCAGCTGCGGGGAGGCTTCCCACAGTGCCACCCACGGAAATAAGACTGTCTACCACTGAGTGCATCGGACCACGCGTACCCTGCACCTGTCAAGGTGGGCGCAGCGTGTCATGAGGACCCTGAGGCAGACATGGCTTTACACCACACTTCCTGCCCATCTAACAGTTCAGTTCTGTGTATATAAACGTGCATTATGCTAGCACATTTAATTCAAATATCAAACATCCATTCTTAATTTGAGTTGAACCAACACTCTAGCAAGCGTGAGCAATTACGGGCTTCATCCCCTCCTGGAATCTCTATCTCGATGACAGGGTTCAGTTTGCTTTGATATTTAGGTCTCCAAATTCATATCTCTTCTTCTACACAGGTAAAATCAGATGGTTTTCTAATTGCACTTAAAATGCAAGTTCCTTGGTGAGGTTACAGGTTGAAGGCACAGACCCCAAAGCCACAGCTGTGCACAAAGCAAAGCAAATACCTCCGAGGTCTTGGCGTCCACAGTGAAGACGGCCTTGTTTGGGTTGCCCGTGGTGGCGGGAGGCAGGGGCGTGGAGCAGCCCGAGGACAGGCCACGCAGCAGGGAGCAGCAGGACATGCTGCCCAGGGACGTAGCCGGGTCCACCTGCTCGGCTGCGGGCAGGCAGCACAGGGTGCCTGTGCAAATATTTTGGGCAGCCAGTGACGACAGGCAGTAGGAGCTCCATCTGTCTTCTGGAAGGAAAAGGAAAGGAAGCTTCAGACCTCACGGGGCTGCCAGGAGCTGGCTTCTGAAACACACGAAGCACATGGCCCTTGCCCCATCTCCTGCAAAAGGAGCCAACAGTTCAATGCACCTACAGAGGTGACTCCCGCTCTAACTGTGTGTCCGACAAGTTCCCAGGCCCATCTATACCAGCACCAGGGGCCCCGCAGCGATGAAGAGCCATGTCCCCTCTGCTATGTAAATGACAAGCCGAGGTCCCCTCCGGCCCATCCAGCCAAGGGGTGCTCTCCTGCCCATCATTCCAAGACCCAGAGCCCAGCACTGCCCCATCACTTGCTCCTGGAAAGTCACAAATCCAAGCGCTGCCTGCCTCGTCCACTCCCCTCCATCCATTCTGTCACAGTCACGCCTCACCTCCGGAAAACCTGCTCTTGGCAACATGTCCAGTGGCTCCCGAGACGTTCAACTCCCCAGCCGATTCCCAGGCCTCCCTCGCACCACCCGCAGCCGCGCTGGGTAGCTCCCGCCTCCTCACCACCTACCTGCCCTCAGCAGGGCACCCTGTCCATCCACCTCCCTGACCCCTCGCCACTGGGGACCAGCTCAGCCTTCCTCTGCTGCACACCGCCCTTGGTGGGGGTGAGGGGGCGGCTTTAACTACACCCCACCTGGCAGTGTGCTGCCAGCTCCTCACTTACCCCTCCCCAGGCCCAACTGCCTGCTCCCTTCTTTCCATCTCAGGAATGTCAACTCCATCCTTCTAGCAGCTCAGAAGCCAAACAAACCTGAGTTGCCCCCTGTCCCCTCTGGGTCCTTTGTTGAGGAGTCCCTGACTTCCTTAGTTAGTGGCCTCACCCAGACCGGAAACCACATGGCCGCTGGCCTGGTCCTCCTCTCTGCAGGCAGCCGGTCCCAAGGTCGGCTCAACCACCCCACATCTAGAGACAGGCACTGCGACACCAGCTTGGCCTCTGTTCCCGACAATGACCCGTCCCTGGGCCAGCCTGGTGCCCGGCTGAAGGGCTGCCCGCCTGCCTCAGACCCTTACAGCGTGTCTGGCCCTCATCATGAGCCCCCCCACACTCCCTTCAGGCGAGCTCAGCACCAGGCCCTCCGCCTCTGGCAAACTGCTCCTGTCCTGGAGACCAGGCCCCCTGCCTCCCCTGCAGCCCCATCCTCCAGCTTCAGGCCCCCTCCGTGGGGCTAACAGGCTCCCTGTTCCAGGTCTACCCAACTTCAAGTGTGCACACTGCTGTCTCCTGAAGCACCCCAGACGACAAGTCCCTCAAAGGAAGGGCAACACTTTCTTCCTCACTGTGTCTGGGCCCAGGGGTGTCCAGACTATGGGGGCACCAGCTGACATGGAGCAGTCAGTGGGCAGTGGGTGCCCCCGTTCCCAGCCTCCCCAGGGCATCACTGCCCACGCAGTGAAGTCGGCTGCCCTCCATCTCATCTTGTCTGCCTGTGTCCAGGAGGACACACACACCTGCAGTGCAGTCAGCAAATACCAGTCGTGTGCGTCCCGTAATGCAGCCGGCCCAGGACAGCATTCCACACTCTAAAGTGACAAGTGACATTTTACTCTAACTCGATCCTGAAATATGGGCATGAATTTCAACACTGCCTGAAAAGGACAGTTTCCTGCCTGAGAAACACGCAGAGCAGACACTGAAGGCGACGCCCTATGGCCTCATCCACCAGCGCACACCCAGCACCTAAACCACGGGCAACACGAGCGACTGCATGGCTCAGGGTCACCGCCGACGCCCACAACACCCAGAAGGAGGTCGTTACCGGAGAGCGCCGTCCTGCTCTGGCAGAGTTTCGAAAGTCCATTCCTTCTGCTGAGGTGTCTGCGGGCTGAGGACAGGCCCTGGCACAGGCAGCTACGATCCCCTTCGAAGGCCAGCGAGCCTCTGTCATCCATCGGGAGACGGTGGGCCGTGGGACAGTCGTCAACTAGAAAACAAAGGGACCCTGATCAGCGTCTGCCATGTGAGCACGTACAGGCACGTTAACCAACCAGGTCTCCTCCGGGCGGCGTGAAGCCCTGCCCCCCAACACTCACACGCACCCACTGCCATATGGGTCAGAACCCACACGGGAGGAGAGTTGGACCACCACCAGGCTAAAAGGAGCTCGTTCAGACACATGCATAGGAAGATATGGAAAAGAGAAGGAAAAAGAGGGGGAAATGGACCAGAATGGGAAAGGGCCGTGAGGATGACCAGGGCTGCTGGCCACACAGACTGAAACTGCTGTCAGGTCAAGAGGAACGTTATGGATACCACGAGTCTAGTGGGTCAGACCAGCTGCACCCAGAACCACCCACGGAGCTTCCAAAACGATGGCAACATGGGGCCAAGGCTGAGAATCGGAAGATGGGCTCACACCGGAGGTTTCTGTTTTTAACTTTTTATTTTTAGATACTTGTAGATTTGATTTACATACAGATAGAAGGAAATAATACAGAAAAATCCCACGTGACCTTCACCAAGTTTCCTCCATTGGTGACATCTTGCATAACTACAGCACAGAACAACTGCCTAGAGACCCGGGCCAGGGGTCCTTGACAAAGTGAGAGGTCCAAGGGCTGAGGGAAACGTGCCCACCCAGAGCCTACAGCCCCTCTTCCAGACCACCCTCTAGGACTGCTGAACCCCAGAGTTCCCAACCACAAGGGCCTGGACCGCACTCCCAAGACCACCCAGGAGGCCTCTGTCTCTCATCGTCCTCCCACATCGGCACACACAGACCCAAGGACAGGCCACAGAGTGACCTCTGCAAGACCAAGCTTCAGCAAGTAGGTGGGGGCGCCCACACGTGGGCACACAAGGCCCTCCCAACACAGGATGGACTTGGGCTAGAAAGGAAGCGGGGTTGGCCCTTCCCACACCACCACAGCCCAGCCCACAATTCCAAGGAGCCCAATCCACCAGTTCTATCCGGGCTTCAAGGTCATCATCAAGGTCCATGAGGACAGGAGGGCAGTTCTTTTAGGTAACAGTTTGTGGACCCATTTACAATTCTGCATACGGCAACAACAGCATGGGGTCAAAGTGCATCCCTATGACTTACCATGTACAAAAACTTATTCCAGGTGAATTTAAGAACAAAAGATAAAAGTTCTAAAAAACCTATGACTAACAACATAGTGGACTGGATAACTGAGCGGCCCCTGGATCTCACCCAGATACTGTTTCTATGGCATCTCTGAGCTGGCTGAAAGCAGGGATTCTCCAACACCAGGCCTGTCAGAGTAAGTCACCCAGAGGAGACCACAGAGCTACCCTACAGCTCCTAAAAGAAGCCAGGGACCCTTAAAGATGGCCAGGGTGGCCCTGCTTCAGTAGCACCCCCTGGAGCCCGGCAAAAGCAAGCCTCTCCCAAGCCAAGCATCCTAAACCCAGGCCTGCAGTTTTCCGAAGATTAGGGCCAATCAAGTACGCTCTCTTCCCGTTAAACAGACCAGCAAACGGGCTTCCATGAGTGACTGTGGGCTGAAAACTCAAACCAGAGGTTTAGGTACAAGAATATTAGCTGCTAGAAATACCTGCATATGTGGCTGAAAATAGAAAAGATGAAGTAACAACAGAAAACAAACAAGAGTTTCTCAAAAACAACTGGCTAGATTGAAAGAAACAAGCTTTTAGAAGTGAAATGTTTAAAAATTGAGGATTTAAAAAAATATTTAATTAAAACTTTCCGACAAAGAAAATTCTAGGCCCAGATGGCCTCACTGTGAATTCTATCAAACATTCAAGAAGGAAATAAATCAATACTGCACAAACTCTCCCAGAAATTTAAAAACAAGGGCACATGTCCAACCCAGTTTTTGAGGCCACATCATTATCCTGATACCAAAACCAGACAGACATTTCTAGAAAAGAAAACGACGAGCCAATAACTCTCATGAACATGGATGTAAAAATCCTCAACAAAATATTGGCAAATCCATCAAGCAATACATACAAAGAATAATTTCCACTCCCCCAACCAAGAGGGGATGCCACAGGGATGAGGGCCAGTTTAATATTTGAAAGTCAATCAATGTGACCCACCACATGAACAGGCTAAAAAAGAAAACATATCATTATTGATATGATAATGTGAGTTTGCTGAAAAAGCATTTAACAAAACAGACCACACCCCTTCATGAGAAAAAACAGTCAACAATTAGGAATTGAGGAAACTTCCTCAACCTGCTAAAGGCGCGTGTATGACTGACCTGCAGCTAGCGACACACCTGGTGAGGAGAGACTGAACACGCACTCCTGGGCTCAAGGGACAGAAGCCACTCAAGCCTCTTCTATGCAGCACTGTCCTGGAAGTCCTAGCCAGGGCACACAGGCACGAAAAAGAAAAAGCAGGCACATACACTGAAAAGGAGGGCGTACAGCTGTCTCGAGTCACAGAAGACACAGAAAATCCTAAGGATTCATAAGAAGATTACCAACCCGCTCTCTTAAAGAGGGGGTGACGGGTAAAGGTCTGAACAGACAAAGAAGGCACATAAGTCACGAAGCAGAACAGGAGGAAGTGTTCGTCGTCACTGCCACCAGGGAGATGCAAAGAGCTATCGTGACACAACCACAGGGATGGCTAACATGAGAGAGAATGGAAGGACCAAGTGTTGGTGAGGGGTGGAGCAGCTGGGGCACGCACAGATTAGTGCTGGGGACACATGTGACACGAGCGTGCCACCTGCTGTAGGACTCCCAGCCATGGACCCAGGAGAAAGAAAAGCACTGGTCCACACAGACCCCTACACAGATGCAAACTACAGCTTCTGCTGAGAGCCGCAGACTGGACGGGAGACCAGATACGCAGACTGTAGCATATCCATACAAAGGACACGTGCTCAGCAGTAAGAGGGAACACAGTGACAAATACGGCGGGATGCACAAATCTCAGAACCAGACACACAGGACACCTCCTGTAGGGTTCTGTTGACATGAAACACCAGAAAACACAAACCTGATTTACAGGGACAGAAAGCAGAGCAGAGCAGGGCCAGCAAGGGGATCTACTAAAAAAGAACACAGAGCAAATTCTAAGGGTGATGGAAATGTTCTGACTGAACTGTGGCTGTGACTACACACAAAACTCGCTGAACTAAGTACGTAACATGGGTGCATTTTATTGTCTATAAATTACATCTCAATAAAGTTCATTTTTAAGTCAATGGATGGGTAAAAGAGGCAGGTAGTTATAGCTGAATAGAAAATTAGTGAATTGGAAGATATATTTTAATAAAGAGCCCAGGATGCAACACAGAGAAACAAGAACATAAAAACAGGAAAGAGAAGTGAAGTGATGAAGACTGAGGTAATTTAATACCTAATGGGAGAGAGAACGGAGAGGAAGAAACATTTGAAGAGCTAACAGTGAACAATCTTCGATAAGAAAAAAGAAACCCACAGATCCAGGACCCTGATGGGGACACTCGGCCCACCAGATGTTGAGAAGTCTGCTCACAAAACATATCATAAAGAAAATAAGATAAGCCACAATTTGGAAGAAGATATTCGCCACGTATATAACCAACAGAGAATATCCAGAAGAGATTAAAAGGTCAATAATTTAAAATTTAGAAAATTTTAAAAGACACACAGCCCAAAAGAAAAATGGACAAGAGATAGGAACAAGAATTTCACAGAAAAGGAAATGCTTGTGGCCAATAAGCCTATGACAAGAGGCTTTTACTTTGTTAGCATAATCATGACAATTTTATACATCCTAAATCAGCAAAAATTAAGAATTCTAGTGATACCAAATGTCAATAAAGATGTGGCTCAATGGGAACTCTAACAAATGAAATCTCTTTAGAAAACAATTTAAGTCAAACATGTGCCTTCTCTGACAGAAACTCCACTCTTAGATTTATATTCTATAGAAATTCTTACACATGGGTAGCAAGTCACACACAAGGATGTTCAGGGCAGCATGGTTCACAATGACAACAGAAAAAAAGAAAAGAAAAAACCTACACATTCATCAGCAAGAAAATTTTAATTTCTGGTATGTGCATGTTATGAATTATAGGGTGAAAAAAATGCTATACACACCACAAGGTTAAATCTTAGCCCTATAGTAAGTGAAAAAAACCAAGTTACAAAAAGCTATCAACAGTAGGGTTCCTTTTATAACCTCCCCCAATCTAAATAAATCCTCTAGGGTTATACACTTATGTGATGAACCCCAATTTCAGGCCGAAGGTTTCTTCTGTGGGTCCAGCCGCAACCTGGAACGGCACAGGGTCGCCTGGTTCTGAATTTGGGTGGTGGGTTTAAATGAGTTCATTTTACATGATGGCTCCTGACTAATATTGCATTTATCCTTCTGTATGAATCGGCTAGTATATACTAAAAAGTTAAAAGGTGTTTTATACAGCCAACCTATAGACAAAGCACAGAAGACTTGATTAGAGTTTCAGACTACATTGTAAATGTTACAAAAGTTTACTTCTAAAATAACAAATGGGAGAGGAGGGAAGATAATGTGAAGGAAGGATAAGGGCAAGAAATGTCATCTTTCATGAAAACAAGTAGATAAATAGTCCCTACAATTGATAAATCAAGAAGTGGATACAGGAAGGACAAGTCCTTTGCCCGCTGTGCCTTCTGTGCTGTAGAGGGTCCCTCCCCACCAACTCAGCATTGCACAGCAGCTCATGACACAGGGGCCAGGGCCTCTGCCACCACAGGCTGGCCTCTGCCAGTACAGAGCCTGGCTTCACACGACCTTAGACCACTCCCGAGAGGTTTGCAGAGAGCTTCTGGAAAGGACTCCTTCCTCTCATGGGTGAACTTCTAGACGCAACAATCACCTTCCTGCCACCAGAACACAAGCTAGGGAGCAAACAGCCCCAATTCTCCCACCACTGCTACACAACCAAGAGTAGAGCCAGCCTCAGGGTGAAGCCAACACCATGGACCGCAGAGCAGAAAATGGCAAGAAAGTCGTCCTGGGGCACTGGATGAACCACCCTAAAACCTGCCTTCCTCGGGACTTCAGGTTTGGGGGCCACCAGCCTCATTCACCATTAGAGCCATTGTGAGGCTGCATCCGTTTCTTGCATGGAGGCATCCTAAACAATATCCAGGATGGCGGCGGCTGTAACAGAGGGTGTCAGCCAAGGCTTCCTCCAGGAGACACCAGCAGAGCGGAGCCTGGCACCGTGGAGGGAAGAAGCCTTCCAGGCAGAACCACCACAGGGCAAAGATGGGAAACAGTCAGCACACAGGAAAGTAGGTGGAGCTGCCCGCATGCCTCCCAGGGCCTCCCGTGCCTGCTCCAGGAGTCTGGGTTCTATCCCTAAAATTGACTTTAAAGAGCTCCATGCTTGGGAACACGACCAGATGCACAGTTTACAAAGGTCACTCCAGGGGCAATGCGGGGGGTGAAAAGTTACAGTAATCCAGACAAAAACCTACAAGGTCTTAAAATAAGCAACGTCAGAAAGATGGCAAGAGGAACCGCTAAGACAAAACTCGCCCTATCGCTGCCACCGACTGCCTAGGTGATGAGATGTGGAAGGTTAAGGGGATGGAAGGCATCAAGGCCACACCCCAGGTTTACAGCTCAGGCCACTGCCATTCTGTGAGGAAAACAAAAACTGAAGGTGAGGAATAAAGCCCAGGTGTGTCCGGGGCACCCAAGCGGAGACGTCGGGAGGCCACGGGCTGCACACCACAGCGCAAGCATTCAGGTATTTCCTGGAAAGCTCATATATGCCAGGCATCGTCCGCAGCACAGCGCGGGGCACGGTCTCCATTCTGGAGCTCACCTTCCAGGATAAGCAATAGTCATGAATAAAGCGCACAGTTAACGCCCGCTGAGGACTGAGGCCGGGCGGGGTTAAGCCGGGGCGGAGACACAGAGCACCAGGGAGGCTCGGCCCAGGGCCCCAGGGCGCGACGCGGGGCAAACGGCCGCAGGGCAGCGAGCGGGCCGTTACCCGGGCCGGAGCCGCACGGAGGAGAGCGGGCAGAGGCGGGGGAACCGGGCTCGGGTTGGTTTGTCCGAGGGCCGCGCCGGAGCCGGGCGGCAGGACCCCGCGGAGCCCCAGCCGGCTCTCTCTGGGGCGCGGGCATCTCACCTGGGGACGAGAGTCACCCGGCCAGGGTTGCTTCACCCAGCCGCGAGAAGCCGGTCTGCGCCTCCAGCCCCGCCGGCCAATCGCGGAGCAACTTTCGCCGATTGGCAGGCCTGTGGGCCAACCACTGACGCCTGTGGGCAGGACTCAACGAGCCCGAGTGGAGAAGCCCGCGCTAACGGTTGCTAAGGACGCACCAGACTCCTTCTACGGCGCCTCCGAGGAGCCAAAAGAGACGGCGCCTCCGCCAGTCCGGTACGGCAGACGCCGTCTCCTCCGGTCTTGGGATCGAGAAGGGTGAGCAGCGCGGAGCTCGCCTGTCAACAGTCTCGCCCTGGAGGCAGGGGCGGCTTCCTCACGGGCCAAGCACGCCCGCGGGGCCGAGGGCCGACGGAGGCTACGGCGCCCACAGTGGGCTGGGTCGGCGTCCCGGGTCCCGACCGGCTCTCCCGGCACCTGCGGGCTGAGCCCCTCCCGAGCCCGGGCACGAGCGCCCCGCGCCGAGCCCGTCCTGCGCTGAGCGTTAACTGGAGACGGCCCCTTCACTCGGACTAAGTCCGCGCGGCGACGCCGAGACGAAGCCGGCCCATTGTACAGACGCATCTGCAGAGGCCCGCACTCTGCAGCCCCACGCGGAGACTCGCTACGAGCCCGGAGCCTCTCCCAGATTCTTCTCTCCGCTGGCCTGCAGCCACCGCTCCGAGCGTGCGGCCCCATCTGCCCCTGTGCTCCTTCCCGCTCCTCGCCTCCAGACGCCTCCGGGACGCTCTCAAATTACCTGCCCCGGGAAGGTGAGGCGGACGGCGCCGGGGGCTGAGGGCGCGCGCGGCCTCGCGGGCGGACTACAACTAACCATGAGGCTCTGGGGCCGCGCAGGCGCGTCGGGGCTTCAGGCCCCAGCGCTGGGACTCCATTGGCTGGCTGTGCCCTCCGCTGGGAGCCCTGATTGGCTGAAGGGCCTGAGGCGACAGATTCCGGAAAGGGGAAGAGCAGCCAACATGGCGGCTGAACGCGGTGCCGGCCAGCAACAGTCGCAGGAGATGATGGAGGGTGAGTGGCCCCACGGGGCGGCGGCCGAACGGCCCAGCGGGCTGGGGGCGGCGGCCTGCACCGCCTTGCCCGAGAGAAACGGGGCTGCCCGCCTCCGACCGCGGCCCGGGCCCTGCCGCGCGGCCCCTGACA